TCTACATCACACTGTACAAGTTGGTACTGGACCAGCACTGACTTCCAGACTATTTGTGATGTCACAAATCATGCTTAAAATCAGCTTCAGCAGATACATATGAAAACATCCTTCTAGTGTCAAAACTCAGACAGACTCGCACAGTTTTCAAACAGCACTCTGCAGGAACAAGAAGAAACACTGATTTCTGACTGGAGGGGGGCCAGCACTGTAATATTAAATGAAGGCCGACTTAGAGGATGCTTGCTGTGTTCCCTTTGTCCAAACATTCTCCTGGGAGACTGTTTTCCAAATTTTTGTGAGCATGACCTATGGTTGATTTATACTGCTAAACACCCAGGTGAAAAGCCAAAACATTTTCCTTCTTCTTTAAGAACACTCATTTATTTCCTGGGGGGATCTCCTGTTTTATATAAGTGCATCAAATGCCTTCCCACCCTTTGCTGCTACGTTCTGTAATGATAATATTACATATAATAATAATAATGATTGTAATAAGTGCTGAATAAACCCTGAAAACACAGTTTGTCTCCACATATCAGGCTGAATATAAGAAGGCCCAGAGCGCGACCACCTGTTCAATGTTCGGTACAACCTATGGTCATAACGTTTTGGACAGGGTTCCCACTCTTTTTAAGAAATCATTTTCAGTTATACAATTGTGGCTTGTGTCATCCTACCAACAACTGAGTTTGTAACTAAATACACACCCAGGTTTACATAGGCAATCTGAATGAGGAGCTAAAATACTATTAACATTTTCCAGGACAACATCAATTATTTCCAGGATATTTGGTCATTTTAATCTATTTCCAGGTGTTTCCCTGACTGAAAAACAAGTTTCTAAATTTCCGGGTTTTCCAGGAGGTGTGGGAACCAGAGCGGTGCTGATGATACATGATGATATTCTTAAAGCCTGATAGTGGGTCCCAAGAGTTGATATAGTGAAGATTAACTTAACACTAAAAACACTTTACATTTATACATACAGTAACTTTATTATACTGACAATGGATTCTAGTCCCAGTCTATACTTTTTAGCGCTCTGTATTGTGTCCTCAAGAGCAAAAATCTGAAATTGTGTAAAACAAGGTGTTAAGTTTCTGTTTAAAATGTGAAGTGTTCATCCCTTTAGGATACTTTTTACAAACTCCAGAGCAGTTGTAGCAGGGTTCACTAGTCAAGGTCACTACACTGGAGGTAAACAACTGCACAACTCAAGGCCTCAGTATGATTCAAACCAAGTGCTTGTCAGATGTCTAACAGTCTTGAACACAGTGAAGCACACTGAGGCCTTCAGTGGACTTCTGGAGCGGCTCTGAATAAAATGTATCAGTGGGAACTCTTGCAACCTTTCACTTTTTGTGATTTCGAGAAGACTCCTTCAAACCAAACATGGCGAACGACACAGATACATACATATTGATCTACACACAAACAGAAATACAAATAACAAAAGTTGCTATAAGAATAATTTGTTATTAACTGTAAAATAGCTTCATAATCTATTTTCAGTATGAGAGTGGTAATTTTGGGCTTTCTGTGTAGTTATAAGTCATAGTAATTGATATAGTATGTACACAATAGCAGCAAACATACTTTTGGTAAACGGGACAATGAGGGTAAAGTAAATGTGATGGAAGAGGTTCAGATTCACAATGATTCACAACTCAATCACTGACTTCATTACACATATGTACAATAGCTTTACATGTCGATATTCATTTGGTATGTTGTTGTCACACAGAGATTGCGTGGGATAAAGAAGGGACTGCTGGCAAATTTGTTGACTTGGGAAGGCTCAACCACTTCAGGAGGCCTCACGTTCAACTACAAAGAATAGACCTTTTTCACGGCAGCCATTTTGACAATTAAAAAGTTGCCTGGTAAAATGGCTGTTGTGAAAAAGGTCTATCTGAAATGTGAGCAACACAATTTCAAAACAATGTACAAAAGATTTCACACTTTGATCTGGGCCCTTTTGACCCTTCCAAAGCCCCGCCCCTTTTTGCACTGCGCTTCAATAACAGTTGAGCAAGCCTCGGTCAGAACCTCGGTCAACTTCCTCCTTTCCTGCACTTAATCTATGTTGAGAAGACAACCACATTTTGAAGATGGTTGACAGATAAAGCGACATATATGAGGTCACATCTTAAGTTAGCTAATGTTAGCAAAAACATCCGCTAACTAGCTAACTACCAGATGAGCTACCAGGGTGCCCCAGGAAAAGAGAAATTTTACCCAGGTTCCTTGGCTGCTGAGCTTGCTTAATTGTAATTGGAGCAAGGGCGGGTTCTTAGGAAGGGTCAAATGCATCCATTCACTCATTCATCCACACTTCTACACATTCATTCAGTCATCATCTGCAAATTTATTTTATTTCCTACATGAAGCAAAACATTCACATATGCTCTTGTACATAGCTGTCCAATCATTCATTCGTCCTTCATTCACTCATTCATCCACTTATCTGTCTGTCCTTTGTTTTCTGTAGAGTGGTGGATCAGCCAACGTGAATAAAATAGTAAAATAATTTCCTCTCTGATTTATTTTTGTTCATATTATTTTAACACTATATACAGTCCTGCCGCTGGTCATGCCGCTGGATGCTGTGAGGAAGGAGAAGACAAATGATGTGAGGCTGGCGGAGGGGTGGGGGGCAGCCAAGTGGCGGTCCATACCTTGGCTTTATTCTTAATGAGTGATTTGTGGCATTGGGCTCATTATGGTTTTCACACAACACCAGTTCCTACTGGAGTTCAATGCAGCACATGCTGAAGAGTTTTGGGGGGGGCAGGAGCGGCGTGAGGCCAGGATTCAGACTTATATCTGGACAGTTGGAAGTCTTGAAACTGTGTGATCAAGAAGTGGCCCAGCAAAGTTTTCTTCTTTTGATGGAATGAATATTCAAGAAGGAGCTGCTTTCATCATCATCTCCTTTTGTGCCCTGCAGCAAGGCAGGCAGGGCCTCAAACCTTCAACCTGCCACGATTGAGTGAACATCAGAGCAGGGCACAGGGGAGACAGACGTAGAACTGATCAGATGATGGTCACCCTGAGAGCTCCAAGATGACTGGAATGACAAAATGACCAAATGTGGGATGTAGGGACCTTAAGTAATGCACTTGAGCCTAACCAGCTGATATAAAGCAGCACGTGGGAGCTGGTCAGGCCTGGAAGTTGGCACATGAGTTCTTTCCCTAGTAATGTGGGCCCGACAAGGCCAGTTTCTTGTAGCAAGTGGACTTCATCCCTTCCTTCCTCACAGGGCTCCTGGGCTGTTGGAGGGTCATGAGGAGTCAGTGCAGGGCGAGGGAGGAGGGGGGCACAGGTGGAAGTAGGAGCGCTCGGTGGAAGGGGACGGGGGGCAGCTCTCCTCGGCTGACAGGTACTGGGAGCGGGGCGTCGGGGGTGGTGGGTAGGGGTCCGAGTCTGAGTTAAGGTCCATGTAGTACTTGTTGTGTTTGCCGTGGCTGCCGTGGCCCGCAGCCTTCCAGCGGCCCGCTGACGATGCCAGGCCAGCCGGCGGGTGGTGGGGAGTATAGTCGCTGTCACAGACATCAGTGCTGCAGGGAGTGGTGGGCGGGGCGGCGCCACGGACCGGGTGGTAGGGTCTAATAGGGAGGAGACACAGTTATTTCAGATCAGGTTCTCTTCTATTATATCTAATCTTTATTTGAACACATCCTTCTTAGTAGTTTCCAGGGGGACTCCAAATTTTGATTGGAGCAGAATGTTACAGCTCCTTTTGTTTGTTAAAATCACCTCAATCCACATTCTCACAGTTACATTTGTTTTGTATCAACTTGTATCAACAGCCATACTGGCAAAGAAAGTATGATGGTTATAAAGTAAAATCAGTATTGGTTCCATGTTGGTTTGTTGTTGGTACATCATGTTTAACTCATAATGTTCCCAAAAACACATTTAAAAGAGACACTGAAAAACGTTAACGTCATTAATCCAGTACATTTTTTAGACCTCTCAAAATCACTGCACCATTCCATCACATAGAAATATTCCACATTGTAGTGTATCATTTTAGACACATTTTTACAAAATTTATCTTCACATTTGTGGGGTCTTTGAAAAAAATTGGGATCTAAAATAAAGTTCTGTGGAATTAAGTTGAACAGCATGAGTTCAATGACTGACCCATGGATGTGGAATAAGTTAACTGCAGGAAGAACAAAAACAAACCCAACAGTGAACTGACTGTAGAGCTAACCCTAACCAAAGGGTGTGTGTTACCTGTATGATCTGGTGGTAGATGGACTGTTGGAGGAGTAGAAGACCTCTGTATTGTAGAGAGAGCGGTCAGTAGCAGGGGACGGAGGAGGGTTCAAGATCTACAAAGAGAAAATACCTGTGTTATCTGACTGTCTGACTGCAAACTGTGTGTGCAGACAGTGTGTGTGTGTGAGTCTGGACCTGAGGGTAGAAGGCTCCCTTGGTAGACGACGAGCTGCTGGATGAGGCTCCAGTCACATGGTTCCTGTCATAGAGAGGAGCCCCGCTGCTGCTGCTACCCATCAGGCTGACTGAACTCATCATTGACTTCCCACAGGATATACCTGCACACAGAAATTCACATTTTACCACATGTGAACATATACAACAGACAGAGCTTCCAGGTCTGTGAAGTGAAGACAAAACTCATTAGGAAACCGTGTACTGAAATAATAGTGAGAAGTCGGCTCATTCCTTTACAAGACTCAGTTCTGTAGGACTTCTTTTTTGCAGCCCATTATATATACTGTCGATACATTTTACAAATCCCTTTAGACATGAGTAACGTTGCTTCTGCGTGTCGGATCTTACCTTGGAAGGTGCCATGCTGCGAGCTGCTGGGGGCGATGAAATTGAGGGGCACATGGGGCGTGCCACTGATGTACTCGTGAGGAAAAGTTCCACTGGGGCCCTTGTAGCGTCTACAGACCACGCGCTGGCACACAAAATAAGCACCACCGATGACGAAGACGAGCAGGATGATGGCAATGACCGGGCCGATGGTGTTGGGCCCTGTGTTAGGGATGCCGCTGGAGGGAGGAGACACATACTCTAAAAGACATAGAAAAGGAGAGTCAGCGGCAGGTTTAAGAGGAGTAAAAGAAGAAGTACTTAACCAGAGTATTTTAGTGTTTTTACCACAGGCGAGCTCGTCTGATCCATCGGGACAATCGGAGTAATTGTCACACTGTTGCTTCTTGGTGATGCACTGGTTGTCACCACAGCGGAACTGGTTAGGAGGGCAGATGGCTAGAGGAGAGCAAGGTGGAGATCCCTTTCAGTTTCTTACTAATGATAAGCTCTTGTGTGGCAACATGGTATAGCTCCTATATAGTGGAGCTGTTAGCAGCTGCACATCAACGGAGCTAACATTTAATCTTTCAGTGTGTTCAAGTGTTTCATAAGTTAGTTTTAACGTACTCTCACAGTCCTGCTCATCAGAGTGATCAGCACAGTCGGGTTCACCGTTGCAGCGCCTCTGAGCATCGATGCAGCCTCCTTTATCACACTGGAACTGAAAGGCTGAGCAAACAGGGCAGTTCTCCTCATCGCTGCTGTCGTCACATTCTGGGAACCCGTCACAACGCCAAGCCATCGGAATACAGTCAATCTCCCCCGTGGAGCAGGTGAACTGCTCTGTGGAGCAGGTGGGAGGCTCTGAGAGAAGGAGGGAGGGGGCAACATACATTCACAGTGTGGAGGAGACAGAAAGGGAGGAGCAGTGAGATGTAACATTCAATGTAGATGAAAGGAGTGAACACTGAGTTTATTTGTCAAACACTATATTGTAGTGTTAAGTGGGTGTGTTTTTACCACAATTAAAACAATGATTATAATCTTATACTTGTGTTCACGTTTACATAGACATCATGTTCTGTCCCACTCATTATTAGCTAGAAAGATAAACGCTGTACCACACGTCTGAATTCAACACTGATTTGTCTGTGGGTGTGTCAATCAATCCATGTGCCATTGTCAAAGCTGCATCTCTTTCTGTCTGTGTGTTAACAGTTAGCTGTCATCCTGGTAAGAAAGACAGTCTTTTCTAATGAGCATATGACTTTCAGTCTGACTGCACCATAAACCTGTTGGTGTGCTTTGTTTTTCACCTCCACAGTGCAGCAGGTCCTGCAGTAACACCAGATGCATGGGACAGGAGCAGCGAGGTGTGCCGTCACCCTTAGCAATGCAGATGTGAGAACAGCCACCGTTGTCGCGGGAACAAGGGTGGGATGCTGGAGAGAAGAGGCAGTCATTACTATCCCTAATCCGAAGGCACACACAAACTGCTACCTCAACAAAGACTAATTAAAACGGCCTGCTGCAATGAACTACTCAATATACGACAGGAACTGATGCTTAAAGCTGGGTGCAGAGGTCCATACCAAACTCCTGTGGATCCATCTCTTCCACAGCATGGATGGAGGTCAGGTATGATATCCGTCCCTGTATGCGTGTGCGTCCGTCCCCGGTCAGTTTGTCCACCCTCTCTATCATCTGCTGTTGCCGGTCGATCCAGTACAGATGATCCCCCAGAACTGTCAGCCCCATTGGCTGGAGGATGTTGGAATCCTGGAGGACGATGCGATTGGCTCCTGGGGGAAGATATTAGAATTCTGATCAATATATGCACTACGTAGGGCATTTTAAACTTTAAAAATAAACCTGTCAGTGCTCTCTGGTGGACAATAGTAGCGGAGACAATAGTCCTCATGTAGAAACAATTCGTAAATAGATTCACTCTAATGTGGTATGTACAAGTTATACAGAGAAATTAAAGAAATTCTGAAAAACAGAGCAGCATTTTTTTTATTATGAAAACTTATCTCAGAATTCTGAGATAAGTGAGATAAGTCGTTATTTTAAAAAAAAGAGCAGGGTTTATTCAATTATGAAAAATTATCTCAGAATTACGAGATAATAAGTTGATGATTCAGAAAAACAAGTGAATTCTATTCACTATTGCCTCAAGGAAATAAAAAATGCAAGGTTTTTTTCTTTCTTTTTCTTAGTGAGGACTTTAAAGTGTTAATACTTAATCAAGGGGTCAAGAGATTCTCGAAAAGAAATACTTGTATAATTTCTAATAAAAATCCATATGTTGTAATTACTGTATTTTGTACAAAATTTTACTAAATGCAACCAATGTACTGACAAAATGAATTCTGTTGGAGCATGAACCTCTATTTATTTACTTTGGCTCCTCCAACCACAGCCACAGCAATTCAAACAAAGAGCAAGCAAGACGGCACACAAACAGTGTCACTGAAATATTCTGTTTAGCCCATACACTCGACTTATCAGTGGTTTTAGTTGCATTTTAAATGTGGCTATAAATAAGCTATGGGAGTCTATGGGAGATCTTAAGGTCAGACAGTGAGTTACTAAAGCAGAAAAGGAAACTATTATTCAATTGATTTCTCTAACCACACAGACAGGGTTTCTTTACACGTGGATCAGACCAAATACTTCAATTTGCCATGTACTTTGGTTTGTTTAGTAGCAGTGATGAGTTGTTATTATTTCTGCCACCATTCTAGTATTCATCATGATGTCCAAGACTGTGTGAGCAGGACAGGCAGAGGATCATCTCCAGGTTCATACTGAATCATCAGGCACTTAATTTACTGCAACATATCTTCGAAATTTAGTACAACACTAAGATTTATATCTTTTTAAATGGGACTGTTGTGTTTCTAGAGCAGTGGTTCCCAACCTTTTTCCTTAAGGGACCCCTTTTCTATCTTTTATTACTAAGTAACATATTTTATGGACATTTAACCCAAATTGTGAACTCAGTAACTGCAAGAAGTTTGTGTATAATTTGTGATTTGGATGAATTTAGAGCAGATTATTTTTCCTGTTTAGGGAACCTTTTATACAATTCTGTCTGCATTATGTATTTTTATTATCTTAAACAATCATACAAACTTAATAGGCTTCTTTTTTGACAAATTTGGGGTTTTCTTGTCCCTGATGCTTGGCCATTGTCCTATTAGACAATTTACTTACTTTACTTAATTATTTATTTATTTGAATTATTTACGTTGCGGATATGGTAACTCACCTGTCAGGTCACTGCTCTCGATGCGTTTGAGGTCAGCGTCAACCCAGAACAGTTTTCCCAGTTTATTGTCCAGAGCCAGTGCTACTGGTCTGATCAAACCAGTTGTGAACAGAGACTCTCTCTCTGTCCCATCCAGACTGGCTCCTTCAATCTTAGCTGAGCGCTCCTGCACTGTGGTGAAATACATGTACCTACAGAGGGGGACACAGACACAATTTATATAGGACATTGGGACACCCCAGGAAGTTCACACTTCCAACCACCAAAATCAAAATGAGCTCACCCTTTCTCAGCATTGACCACAATGGCCCGTGGCTTGTCGGTGTCGTCCTTCAGTACCACGCCCACAGTGTGTCCATCCATCCTCTGGACATTGATGGTGTTGGTTGTCTCACAGGTCCAGTAAACGTGGCGGCTGTAGGGGTCCAGGCTGAGGTCATGAAGCTGGTTGTCCACCGGCTGAACATTGCTGTTCACTATCGTGGTAGACTGGAAGCAAACACAGCAAAGTCACAATGTCAGCATTTTATTTTTATTGCAATTGTATTTATTTTAGTGTACTGTTTATCTGTAAGTTGAGAAATTTTGTCAGCAGGCTGCCATTTTTTTTCTGCTTGAAAGCTACATCACACGTTTTGTTGCTCTGATTTCTTGAAGGTCTATCTAACTGCATCGAGTCTGCACCTGTTTATAATTTCTGGTTGATTGTTGTAGTAATAGTCTATCTTCAACCTCCAGCCAAATCGTCTTTATATCTTCTATTGGTTGTTTTCATCCAGGCCCCAGTGGATTCTTGCAATACCATCAGGAGCACCAGGAGATGTCAGAGGAACCTGATTTTTTCACAGATTATCTGTCTGATGTACTGCTGTCAGGATATAGTCAAAGCTTCAGCAAATATGATATAAAAATTATTATTATTTTAAGTAGTTACCTACTGCAGCTTAGGTTGTTGCTGAAACGCTGATGAAGTGAATAATTACAACCTGTGAACTTGGGTATCATGAAAGCTATTTCAACACTTCTTGGCATTAAATCTGGAAATTCCAATTCCAAATTAAAGCTGCAAGCAGCGATGAACAGGCCCTCGCACTCCACGCAACTCGGGGCGTGCTGCGGCCGCGTCACATGCCGGCGTAACACGTGCGTACCACAACATGAAAATTTCACATAAA